ATGCGAATGAGGTTAACTAAGTGAAACTCATTTACGATGATATAAAGATAATATGTGCGAGTGCAGTCTAGTATGAATGATGTTTGAAAAATGTTTAGAAGAATGTGTCAGAGTAAAACAGTTATGTGAAAATCGTCAAAGAGGAAGCATGGGTATGTAACGGTTAATAAGAGTGAGAGAGAGAGAGAGAGAGAGAGAGAGAGAGAAGAATTTTTTATAAAGTGTCAATCAATTTTTTGGTTTAAAATAGTTTATTGAGAGTTGTTTTCATTATTTAAATATTTTTATCTAAATATGCTAATGTGTTAACTGTTAAAAAACGTAGAAGATATTGGTGTCTATTTCTATCCACACAATACATTCATGTAGGATCGGATTTTGGATGGATTGACTTAAGATAGTATTGTTGGCTTCTTAATCCTTTGCTCTCGACAATTTATTGGCTAAGGGAGCGTACGAGTTGAAAAATTTTCTGATATAAAGCTGATGAGCAGTAAATAAGAAATCGTATAATAATTAACACGTAGAATTATTTAATTTCAATACCTAGCACACTGTTACATTACTTTAAATTCGAGATATTAATTAACAACGATCTTTAGAATTCGATTAAATGGCGACTGAGTTGCCTCTCGAGTGCAAAGGGTTAACTCTTTGGGGCACGCTGGGATGAAAAGTGTTCCACCTTTTTGATGCACCATAATGCATGGTGGGACATTTTTAGTCCCACCTCGAAATATTGCAATAGCTGCATGCGCATAGGTTTATATTTCGCTTTATTTACGTAAAGCAGTTGGTAATACCTTCAACAAACGTTATAAATGTATTCGCACCGTAAAATCGTAAAAGTAAGTCAATTTTTATAAAAATTAATTCTATACCAATTTTGTTTCATTTAAAACGCAATAAAATTTCTATGCAACATGGGTCTATTTTATTATCTGAAATTCTGTGCCGCATAGAGTTAAGGTCGAACAATGTTATTTAATATTACTCGAAATCTATTTTCGTTATAGAGAAAAGTCCAACAACGTAGATCAGCTTACGGTACTTACCTGCTGAAGCTAGATTTTGTTGATGGTACCAGATATTAGCAATTTTGGTGTAAAAATAAATTAATATAGTAGATACGTGTCCACTGTTTCCTGATTTTATGAAGCGTTATATAAATACGTTTATAAGTCTGTGCACTGAAAGTTAACTTCCAGAGTTCATATTTGGGGTACTAGATAAATAAATGATTTAGTTTTGGTTTTATAAGCGTAGGAGGTTATTGCCTGGATCACAATGTCCACTGTGTGCATATGAATGTAGAGTGCATGGGGATGCTTGGGTTGTGTTGAAAAGATAAGTTTAGCTATAAACAAAAATCAATCTAGAATATAAGATACAAATAAATAGTTCATAAAATATAAGTTCCGAGAACGAATGTTTATATTAATATTCGATGGGAATTGGGGGTTTGAGTGAACCGCGTTGCATAACCTCTTAGCACTCTGAGGAGTCGGATATAAGTTAGTTTCAAGGGTGGCCAACGCGCTGTAGTTCTTTAAGGCGCGAAGTATGAATTAAATATACGAATATATTTCAACAGAATTTTTTTTCTTAATTTTGCAGATAGTTAATATTCTGAGTCTGTCTATTTATTAAATGTTTAACATGGATTTGAGTTTTACTAATTTTAAGGAAACTTTACTAGTCTTCTTGTAGGTGATCGTGTAGAGGACATATGAAGCTCATTAATTTATTCGATTAAAAAATTATTAAATTAGGAGTTATTTCAATTTATATAGGGTATCCCAAAATTCACATAGGATTTGAATTTCGCGCCATTTGCGAGGGAAAGTATTGCCAGATATGTCTCACAAGGGGAGTGCAAGTCCATCCGGCCATAGGTTTAGTTGAAACTTTGCAGGTTTGTAGATTTAGTCATCCAGTTCAAGAAAATGTACCATTGTAAGGGCAACTATTCGATAGTTTCTGAGATATTTATGATTAAAGCTTTATTATTCTTAACTAGAGATTTCTTCCGAATAGTTATCGATAGTTATCAAGTGGCACTGTAGCCTAATAAAAACATTCGAACATTACCAGCGTGGGAATTTTCGGATATTGCCATTAGGCCACAACGGCACTTGATAAATATTCAAAATAAATCTACAATTAAGGCAATAATAAAAATCTGATCATAAATATGTCGAAAACTATCGAGTAGTTGCCCTTATAATGATATATTTTCTTGAACTGGATGATTAATGTACAAACCTGCAAAGTTTCAACTAAATTTATAACCCGAGAACTTGCACTATCCTTGTGAGTCACAATACTAAGTTCGAAACACAAATGCGTCTAAACCAAAAATAATAGAAGCTAATTATTTCCTTTAATAAAGTAATAATTTTTTTTGAAAAATCAACGTTTATTTCATAAGAGTAAGAGTAGGTATGTGTAAAATACCGGTCGTTTAGTGTTAAATCGCCAACGCAAAACCTGTTGCCAACCAACATTTCTACATCAGAGTACCTCTCATCTATCAAGAATAATAACACCTCAACTGTGAGTGGTGGTTCTATGTGTGTGAGTATGAATGAGTTAAAATGAGTACGAGTCCCTTGTTTATAGTGGTGTTATATAGTTTATGGTATAAATGCTGTATGTGACCGTCCTATCTAGAGAGTAATAGATGTAGTGATGTATTAGATGTATTAGAAGAGTGTTGTATGAGACTTAGTGGCTACTGAGGAAAGCAAGTTAGAGGATAAGCGTAGCAGGCATTACGAGAGAGTGCTAGCACAGTGTTGAACTGAATTTCAGATTTGACGTGTTACTTTGTTTATATCAATCCTTTTCAAGTATATCCTATCATTTTGCATACGTAATTAAGTGATTCGTTCTGTTCTACCCACATCTATTTTCTAATCTTTTACTCGCATTAACTTCTCATACTACGATTTAATGATAGGAAATCGTGCATTGCAGAGGCATTTAAATTCAGTTAGCTGGGTTACAATTATTTCATTTGCAAAAATATTATACAAATGTTTAGAATTTGTATGAATTCCATTCGTGTTTAGGCTTGGTAAGTATAATTTTACTCCAGAGTAAGTCATCCTTATGCAGTTCAGTATGAGAAACCATGACGAACTAGACTCGTCAGTATAGTGCAAAGGATCAGAACCTATTGAATTGCTATAGCCATTCCAATTTATATAGGTTTTCGATTAGAGTTTTCAATTGTATTGACATTTTCGACTAATATCATGGTGAGCTAATAATTTTACGTAAATGGGGGTAAGGAACATTATGGTTTATTAGGAAACGTTTCCATGTATTTGTACCGACTTAGGATTACACCTAATAAGTCTAGTGTCGACCAAATATTTTTCAATCTGTGAGTACAACTCAAAATAAATTAGGGATGTTTCTCCTGATCCTTTACAGAAAAGGAGAAAAAATTGGTTCTCGGAGGAGAACACGAGTGCAGTATTAAATTGCTCCTTGTCGAATGCAGAGACCAAGAGAGCATCGATATTTTACTTGGGATGCAATGCTACTCTAACATTTACGTGCCGTTTTGTTACTTTTGTTAATATAATCGATCGATTAAACCTAAAATTACCCATAGCGTGGCTTTTGCGTTTTTGTGAAATTTCACAGGATAATCCGCCATCTTTATTATCTCAAAATATGACAATAAAATTTATGGATGTCGGTCCTGTGGGACTTTCCCCTATAAAATAGAAAGAGCGCGCGAATATCCGCGATTTGGAGTTTTGTTAACATCCGAATGCAACAGACAGTTTTGTCGATGGTCTTCAACGAAATAACGCACGGGGAAGAACTTATAATTGTCGCATAAACGTGTGTTGGACCACGACAGCGTGAGAACGTTTCACGTCCCGCTCTGCGCAGCCGCACGTGACAAACGTGTAATTTAAAGGCGGTAATTGCATGTGCGCGAATGGTACAAAACACCGCGAGTACTCGAGTGCGGCCGTCTTAAGAATACGTTGTCTATGTATAACCTATAACGTATCTTTACGCTATGAACGAAGGTAAATTTGTAAATGTTATCGAATTCTATTTTCGATTTCTCGTATCGATATTTGCTTTCTGACAAATTATTTTTAACAGATCTTGGGATTATTATTATCGTTAGGGGAGTCAAAATGACTTCTTCCATGACTCCTACTGTCGGTAAAGTCAACTTTTACCTTTATTCGAATGAGAATGTAAATAGGTACATAATTATGCTATTAGCTATGACAATGATTTAAATTAAAAATCCAAAAGATAGTTTCGTTACTTACTTTTATATGTTGGTACGTGGCGAAATATAAGCACTCTTGAAATTGGACGAACACGCTTTTATTTTACAAACGTACAGATTGAATGTGATACAAAAAGACGACGACGACGACGACGACTCGAAAACAAGTGAGGGTTCAGGACACACGCGGTTCTTTACGCCTAACAAACCCCCATTCCTTTCAGGATATATTTAGTTCTCTTAGGTGACAATAGATGTAGCCGATTGTTCCAGTTAATTCTCAACATTATACTACGTTAATTTTTCAACGTCTACAACTTTGCGAGGAGAAATCGCACGATAACATTTGCAGGCTGAATATAAATGGCAAAGCGTGTAAATGCTTTTACATCTCTGGATTGAATTTCTACTTGAATGAAAACGAAAGCAGTTTTTTACTTATAAAATTCTAAAAATTCAAGCGCTTTCTCTAAACCTAGTAATAAAGTAAAAGTTACCCTAAACAATTTTTGTTCAGGTCTAACTTTCCACGAATCACTAAAGCTCCATTTTCCTTTCAAACCGACCGTTTCACTACTATTATAACTATGAAAAAGGGCAGTAATCGATGTTAGAACCGGCCCCCGACTCAAAATTCAAAACACGAGTTATAATTAACAGATTCTCCCTGTTGAATACTTCACGCGTGAAGAAAACTCGAAGGAAGGAAATAACGGTAGGGAAGGGTTTTACTTAAAGGGTGGCACTCTCTATTAAAGAATAGACAGGAACGACATCGTTCACCAGTTGGGAGACAGCATGCAGCGGCGTAGGTATACATTCATTAGTTACGTGGTCGACGGGGCGGTGAGCGTTTACACGAGCACGCGCCAGAATTCCAGCGGAGTGGTGGCAAAGGGGTTTGATGGTGGGGATAGGGGGCCGGAGATCGAGCGACCAATAGGAAGCAAAGCGAAGGCAAGCTCCCGGGCGGAGCGTTCGAATATACCAGACGCTGTGCTGGCGTCCTTCTGTCAAACGGCGTTCAGCCGTCGAGGGAGTAGATAGTGTGTCGTATATTGGGAAAATCCTTGACAGACTTCGAGAAATTCCATTCGGTGAACGAGTGACAAAATTCGTCAAACATTGCTACGGACTCGCTGAGCGAAGAACACCATTGTGCATCTTGCGACGAGATTGTGGTTCCGAAGAGCGGAATAAAATGGAAACTGCCGAAATGTTGAACGTATGGTTCGGCTGAAGGGGGTCCCAAGGAAGGAGATTTTCGGCAGAAACGAACGTCAGTATGTTACACAGTTCGTTGCCTCGGGCGTTCCTGGCCCCTGGACTGAATTACTTGGGTTACTACGGTGACGAAATCCACCAGCATTCATACGGAGCAGCCACCAGTTGGCACATTCCTATGGAAAACCCCTCGATCTACTCGAGGGTCCCTGATCACCATGTTCTTCAAACTTGGGACTTGTCCAGGTCATCCACCCCGTGTCCCCTGGACTTGTCTCTCAAGCCACCGCCTACACCCAGCACGCCGAAGACAGAGGATCCTATCGGACCAGACCTGAAAAAAGATCATACAACGTTGGACGAGGTACAGAAAGAATCGGAGAATACTAGGTACGGAAGGAGCAACGATGAGTCGAGTCCCCTGGTGGTCGACGACTTTGACAGCGCTCCTCGAAGTTCCTCGGTGCACAGTCATTCTAGTTACGAGCAATTGCTTTCCAAGAAGGAGCCTCTGCAAGTCCAGGAGCCAACAATCAAGCCTTGCACTTTGGAAGAAGCCACTCGACTGGCTGCCTTTGGTTCGACCAACGACATCTCCTCTAAGTATTACACGCACAATCAGAAGCTCCTGTTGACCAGCCCCAGTCATCTGCAATCGGTGCAAGGTTACCATCAACAGCTTCTTCTAACTCCACAGCATCACCTGCAAGGGATGCAACACGCACCCATGACTCCACCGAGCACACCCTCGCCACCGCAGTGTCCTAGAAGAAAAGTCAGAGAGGATGATTCGAGTCCAGCTTCAACGACTAGCAACGTTGGTGGCGTGTCTAGTGGGTTCAGATCTGGCTCGACCGAAAAGCTCCTGCAGAGACCGAAGAAAAAGCACGCCAGAAGGCTGAAATTCGACGAGGACACCAGCAGTCCCGTATCGGGTACTGTAATTCTGGGCCCGGACGAGGCAGTGGTCACGGGAGACATCGATCCTGCCTTCAACATCGTTGAAGTCACCGAGGAGGCGCGGGCGGAGCTGGCGAAGATCGAAAATAGGCTTGGCCCCTATCAGTGCAAGCTGTGCAGGCAGTTGCACGAGGACGCGTTCCAACTGGCTCAGCACAGGTGCTCTAGGATAGCCCATGTCGAGTACAGGTGTCCCGAATGCGACAAGAGGTTCTCATGTCCGGCGAACTTGGCTTCCCATCGACGCTGGCACAAGCCTAGACTGTCCAACGGCGAGCATTCCTCTTCTACGGCGAGTATCGAGATACCTTGCACCAGGTGCGACGCCAAGTTCACCAGACAGGCGGCGTTGAGGAAGCACTTGGCCAGCCAGCATCCAGAGACGAACAACAACAACAACAATGTCGTTCTGGACACGCAGGGAGCAGCTGTTGGTAAGACTGACGTTGTTCAGGTGGTTTCCGAGAGCACGTTGAACACCGAGATGCCCTGACACCAGTTCCCCGCGAGACCCTTGCCACGAAGACCGGGTCTCTATTGGAGATTCGGTCTTGATTTGTAAAGATTTAAGTCTTCTAGTCTGCTCGATTTTTGCTTTGAGATTTTGTAGTTGGTCGTTGGTTGTGTGGACCATGGCAATCGACGTAGCTTCTTACTTTTTGCATTCCCCTTTGTTTTTGTTGTAACTGAATTTTTGGAATATTTAAAATTTTATACATACCGAAATGAATTTTGTTCTTTTTCTTTCTTTTTATTTTGGTTAAGTTTGTAATAAGTGCAATTTTATGTTAGTATTTTTTAATGGAATAGATAGATTGCTGAACATATGCAGATTAACTCTTGCATGACGAATTTCGAGTGAATATGAACTGAACTGATATCACATACAGGGAAATAGAAAGAAATACGTATTTTAGTATTTTTTGTTTTAATTGAGAAATAACAAGTAAACTGTAATAGTAGCCAAACCAAATTTTAATACCAAATTCTTTTCCAGGAGTTAGATAATCATTGTGACTCGAGAATTCGCCAGTTAAGGGTTAATAATAGATAATTTTTTCTTTTTAGTCAAATCATTTGTTTTACCATCTTTAAATGTTGAATTTTCTTTTTTTATTTTTATATATTTTTAATTATAAGCGAACTGATAAAGTTCCAAATATTTGTTCAATGTCTAATAAAATAGATTGAAAAAAATTGGAACATATTACACCAAAATAATACTTCAGTTATATTGTACAATACATTTTGCATCCAGAAGCCTCAATTATACTTTTGCAAATATTCATTAGCAAGCTGCACACATCTGAAGGTTTCAGAAATTAATAATAGATGTAATATTTAACGTTATAACAAAATTGATTAAATTTCAACAAGTTTCAATAGCTAATGAGAATACCTTTTTAATGAAGTCGAAAACGGTAACAGAGTTGGCTATTTGACGGCGACATTTCGGTTCTCGAAAATTTGAAACGATACCATAAATATGGATTATGATAGACAGCATAAATAATCCCAATAATCCAAAGTACATATCATCGATCAATAGTCTTCTGTCACGATTAAAAGTATTTCCCTGAAAAACGTTGAGAATAGCATTAAAAGTGTAATAACGAAATAAACGTAAATTTGAATGATAGCCATTTAACAATGACAAATTTGGTTCTCATAAACTCGAGACAATAATCGCCGTTGCAACGGAACACGCGTAACCTATGTCGCGCGAACGGCACAGGAGGGGCGAATTGGACTGTAAATTTGCATAGAATTAGAAGTAGCGAAGCAACAAGGTTAATACGATGTTGCGTGCGATGTAAATCTGTAGATAGCGAGGAGAGGTCGGCTATAAACCGTGACTGTGCGTGTATATATACCTGCTCGAAGTTATGTGCGGTTTAATATTTATCCAAGCCGACGATCCGTCATCTTTCATCCTAGTTTAAGTGAACGTACGTAACTCGAATAGGTATTCCTTAGATTTAAATTAAGTCATCGATCAAATCATCGATCCGTCGGATCGTGATCATACAGCTGAATATCAAAGATAGTTAAGACGACTAAGTCGTATATATCTAGTCAACAGGGTTACCAACTGTCAGTTGGTTACTTTTAATAGAGAATTAAGTAAGTAGAAATTAGATTCAATTAACGTTTTGCAAATAATTTCGAATTAATAAAGAGCCACTGTAATGCATATCGTATATTATTTCTAATTGACCCTAGGCATAGGGAGAAACAAAACGTTACTAGAACGTGTTTACACTTGTGAACGCTTTATAATGAAAGGATTAGCAGCCCTGAATCACTTAACCTGTTAATCAGCATATTTTCAAGACAGTGATACTTCTTATCTAATTGTAAGTGTTGCATATAAATAGTGAATTAGTTTCATTTTGTTCATAGTACGTGTAATAATGTTTTAAAAACTTCTTTAATAAAAGTGTAATGACATAATTAAAACTAGAAAAATTAATCGGTTATTTAATAAAACATTCATCAATGAAGTCTTCGCTGGTTAAAAGGTTAAGACACAAGCAGGTATTGAGAAATAATGATTTTTAAATTTAATGAATTTAGAATGACACATTAAACATTGTGTTTAATTTTTACACATAAATAATGCAGAGTATATATGCGTGTATAGTAAGGAATTGCTTCTAGTTTCTAGTCAGACAGCATAATTGAACAAGCATTGCCAAATCGTAGCAGTTGTATCTAGTCAGAGAGTGAGAAGGTATTCATTGTTATAAAATATACTCTTATATATATTATTTAGATAGGTACACATATTGATCGAACACTCGTAGTTAATGAATATACGGTGTCTTTCGAATTATTTTGGACAAACATAACCTGAAATTTTCAAATTTTTTAAATGTTAAAATATTTACTTGTTTTAAATGAAAATAAATTACTTTTTCCATATGGTAAACAATTCGAATATATATGTCAGTTTTTTCAAATGCAAGAAAAATATGATTAGCTATTATACAGCTTTTACAATTATGTGAATATTGTTGCATTGTAAAATATAGGTTACTATTATATTTCTACTATTATTTGCCACTTGTGTTTCATTATAGCGAATGACAGTGACTTAAAATGACATTTTTATTTTCATAGAAACATTGTTATAGAATACAAATATTTAAAAATATTTCTAATTTTTTATAATTGAAAATTTCAGTCAAGCATTTTAATTTGCATTAATTTCAATAATTGAATACTTTCGTAAAGAATATTCGTAAGTCATTCATAAATTTGTAGTAAGGTGAAATATAATTATTCTCTAACGAAAAAGAATTATTTATAAATAATTGTAGCATAATTAAAAAACAAACCGAACATAATCATTTAATCATTACAATGCCATTTTGAGTCACCGATACATGCAACTTTTAGTTCGATTTATTTTTCAGTTTCGCATTATCCTTTATTCTACTCGTTTAGAATAAAAGAGTATAATCTAGTCCAAGTAGAGAATGACGACGCATTCGAGGTTAGGTAGGTGATATAAACCATCGAGAACAATTACGATTATTATAATAAGTGCTGTATACTTAAAAACATAGTCATTTACATTTATTCAAAATGACACAATATAATTAACGTTCTCAAACGCAAAAGACCGTAAAATAATTACACGGTTTTCTGTAACTCGAAATGCAAGCAATGTCCAATAGAGGAAAAAGAAGTAGGACACTTTAAAAGATAAACGTATCTAGATGAATGCGGTGAATGTTAATTAAACAAAGCCTAGTCAGAACTGGTCGTGAGTATTATCTGTGGAAAGTGTACGAAAGAAATGTTAGCGAAGTATACGAGAATTTTTCGGTGTCCTCTGATTATCGTTGACACATTCACCGGTAAACGTGTTTTGATAAATTTTTCACTCGCGTCAATGACAGATAATATTATTTCGAAATAAATAGTGGGATATTAAATTGCGTTTGTTATCGCGTAATATGAAAAATATGACGCATTACGTATCTAGTTGACTATTACCCACTGTGAACGCTTTGATCATTAGTGTCCAAGCTTAGACGTTATAATCAGTGGCGAATGCAGTTCACGCATTCTAGCGGTGAATGTGTTAATTACTAATCTGTAATGCGACAGTTACCGAATGAGGCGGTTGTATATATGTATGAGTTAGGTTGTTACAAAGAGTTTGTCGAAGTATATCGTGTGATATATTTTTTAAGAAATTATTTATGCGCTGCTCTAAGCAATTAGATCATTTACACAACCGCTTGCAATTATTCTTATGACATCAAAAGTGGATCGATATTACTTCAATAATTTAGATTTAAGGTATACACTATTACAACCCATGTTAAATAAAAACTATGTTAATTATATCGATGAATTTATAGTAATAAAAGTTATCTTTTTTGATGAAATTTAGATAAAGTATGGCCATTTTCATAATTATGAGCGGTAGTGTATATCAAAATATTTTCTTTATTTATGACCAATTATTTTACGTGTTGTGATCGGGAGAAAGCATTTTGGTAGAGCATTTTTTAAATTTTGGTGAAAAATTGAATTTTTATACGTAATATTATAGTTACATACATAATATTTAAATTAAATCTCTGACATTTCGATTCATAACTTGTAAACAAAAATATTATTATATTTAAACCATATGGAATTCCTTTTAATTGTAAAACTGGAATTATTTTTCATTTTTAAGTAGGTACGTATTAATTAATTATTTTAATAAAAATGCTGTAGAATCGAATATTTATTTATTGCGTTCGTGACATCGAAGACGTAGGAAATAAAAGCTTGGAAAAATCGAGAATTATAGGATCATAGTGGCACAGCACTAATCTTGATAGCGGTATAGGTTATGTAGCGTTGAAACGAACCAAAGAAGGTTTCACGTTCCGAATTAAAATAGACATATTGTAATTCTCAATTTCTCTCTTTTTTTTATATGTTAATTCAAAATAATAAAAAATTGAATATGTAAAAATTTGTAAGCAATTTGGAATTTTTGAATGATTGTAAATTTGACAAAATGTTTGTAATAATCTCGTCTGCGATACATGCACCTATAAATATGTATAATAATGATGCATTCATGTGAGCTTGTATCATCTCCCACTTGCAAATCCACAAGTGTAGTTGGTTGTATGTAACGTAGGCTAATTTCGAAATGTATTTTCTGTTCATATCTGTATATAAAAATATCATTTCTCGTAAATACAGAAATCTTGAAACCAATTCTCGTTTGATAGTTATTTATTTACATTTGTACAACAATTATTTAACATAACAAAATTTGTATTATAATATTTATTTAATTTTTATTTTTTTAATTATTGTATTCTTATTGTTGATTAAATTATAAAAAATATTTGTTAGGAAAATAATTCTTTTTTCAATTAGAATTATTGTTTTGCTATTCCTCTTGCAATATAAATTTCTGTTTTAACGTTCATTCAAATAACTTTAATTTTGAAACGTTAGATGAATTGCTAA